GAAAGCAGGTATCGATTACTGATATTTGATCAYTGACATAAAAAAATATGTATGTATTCCATGAGATGAACAGATTGCGAAATCTGTTTTTTTTTTTTCAGAGGCTCTTAAAGATGATTTTGCTAACCTCTAAGTAACATTTTGACCAAGTTACAGTCAACTAGTGAGCACATTTAACGTAGTTTCTGCCCACATCTTAATTTTATCCCATTTCATAAATCCCACAAAGYTGGCAGAGGAGCTCCTACGAAMATTTCTAGATTAAAAACAGTCCAATGTCATTTTCATTTTACTCTTAAGGACATTTCTCCAGTGCTTATTCATAAACTTGAACCTCGGCTGAGACTGGCAAGTACTGCGCACTTCAAATAAATGGATTGTCCAACTGTTTTAGAAAATGAAATACATTATCATAACATAAATCAAATTTCAACAAGMGAATCTTACAACATATAGACAAAAAATAGCAATGATTACCTTAATCTCGATAACTCATCAAAATGGCGCCCATTTGACAAGCGGGCCGTCCTTAGCAAATTTAGTTTTTAGTATTTTTCGTGCCCCTAGGAGAATTAATTACTGTCGCTCTTACTTAACTGACAGTACCTTGTGCGCAGCCATCATTAATGCTGTAATAARAAACGAGAAGCAGGTAAGAATTAGCTGTCATTTTAAAACGATAATAGCTAGAAAATATGTTTGTCTCTGTTTCTTCTTTTGGCTTTCTTTCTTGTCGAATATTTTYAGTTTATTTTTATGCTCGAAAGATAAACAATTAATAAATATTTTTATCATATAATTATCTAAGTACCTATATTTCACCATTGCGTATAAGTTGATATTTTCACGTATAACATATTATTTTCACTAGTGAAAATAACACATTCTGAGGTTTCGCTATATACTGGAAGTAAGAAAAAAGGCATTTGAAGACATAATTTGCTTTCGTATACAATTATATGATAAATAGAATATTACATGTTCGTTTGGAGATACGAATTTTATCTTCTCGTCTTGAAAATGCTCGACTCGTGAGAGATCTTTTCAACACTCGATGATAAAATCCGTATCTCCGCGCGCCCATGTAATATCCTCTATATATAAAAAGAAGTGGAACGTGGTTTTGTAATAAAATTTAGCGAAATTTCAAAATTTAGAATTTTACTCTACAATAGGAAAACAACGTTTTTTGAAGTTAAGACTTCAGCAGCGGATAAGAATATACTTCGAAATATCATTTCCTTTTTTCAGCAGACTTAACATGTTATCGGCAAATTTTATTGCTTCAATAAGAATCTCTCTCATTTGYARGAATCGTTGTAATYGTTTTAWTACCAGTTTTCAAAATATCAGTAAGAAGTTTTTAGACAATTTTYTCACAGAAGAAATTTAATCATGTGCATCAAAATATGACCGTTTGCCATTTTCATTTYGATGTAATGCATATCATGAAAATTTCTCTATTTTTACATGTTACAACATCCTCCAGCCGGTTCTCCTACGCGAATTAAGCAAGTGAAAAAAACATCAGTTTTTACACCATTATTTTTTCAGTTTTTTTCTGATCATTTCGCTAATAGKAGATACCATYCGKGCAAAATYTAAGAAATCCATRCCAGWTCTWAATAACCGCAGTAGCKGGATCCARAAACGTTACAAAGGGAGTCGGCAAACTCAAGAGATTATATTGGCTGGCTTTGGATTGGGAAAATGAATTTTCGTTCGGAAGAACGCTGTTTCAGTTCTTTTTTTTTTTTTTTCAAAAAGAGTTCGAAATTCCCTTTCAAAATTAATTTCTTCTTTTATAACCCATTTTAATCTTTTTAAAGTCTTGTTTGTTCCTTTTTAATATCAAGAAGAACAAGAAGAACAAGAAGAAGAAAAAAAACCCTCTGTTTCAGAGACTTTTTTTTTTCGAAGACGGCTCGAAATTCCTGTTCAGAATTCATTTCTCCTTTTAATCTTTTTTAATCTTGTTTAAATTTAGTCCTTTTCATTTCTCCTTATATATTGATATCAAGAGAAAAAAATCGAGAATATTTCTATTCTTTTATTTTTCGAGTATGCGAAAAGGGGGTTGGCTACCCATCCTAACCACCCCCCTAGATCCCCCTTTGTGTTTTGATATTCTCTTTTCGTTGCTTTTTCATTGTTTTTACTCTTTTTTCCATCGTTATGGTAGGAAAAGTATAGTCTAGGTTTTAGTTCTTGTTTTATGAGGTTGGCATCAAATACACTTAAATATTGGCTTAGCTAATAAGCCCCATTGTTATGCAAATATATATGATGTCAACAAAGTCATGCGATGAGCAGGTTGAAATGCGGAAAAATATTCACCGTGTTTATAGTCTAAGAATATCATTTGAACAATAGAGATTATCCATAGAGCCTCCCTGCTGGAAAGAAGAAAAACCTGGTAGAAATTGGTATTTTTTAGTTGAAACCTTTTCTGATCAAGTAGCGATCTATCTTTCCTGCAAACTTTGCAGCAATTGATGTGCAGCAAGAGGGTTGGTTGAAATTTGAGGACTGTATGGATAACCCTATTTAGGTTGACGGCATATCAGTCATTCAATTCTAAAGGTACTTCTTTCTTTTTACATCATTTAGCTAATGACTGGGTAATAATTATTATAATCCTCTGACAGCTGTAACAGTTTATAACTAATTGGTGACTTTTGATCACCTACACATCTAATTGCTCATAAAATTATATTACGAAAAAAAAAATGATTCCACTTGTTTTGAAAACCGGGAGTGAACAATGATCTTGATTTTAAGTGATGATTTCATAGGGAAGCAAGTACATTACTTACAGTCTTAAGCTTAAAAGCAAAAATAATTGGCTTTCTTCTAGGAGTATAAACATAAGATAAAAGCAATTCAGCCGAATGTTGAACGCCGTGAACTTAATCGCGTGGAACATAAATTCTGTTCAATTCTTTTTTATATCCCGAGAATCTTTCGTGAGCTTTTAATTATTGGACGATGAATATCTAGAGCCAAATGGTATTTGAAAGAAAATGTGTTTTTAATAATAGCAGGAATTAGCTACAAAAGATTTTGTGTGGAAAGTCTTACAAAGTCGTTACTAATGCAAAATGGGCTCACTCGTTCGTTTAACAATATAGAACTTGCCAATATTCAGAACGTACAGCAAAAGCTAAGTTCGACGTTTGACCAAAACCTATTTTAATCCACTATTATATAATTTCGCACATTTTCAAGAGCTATCTTTCTAGAAGCAGTGCGGTTTTCGATACGATCGTGTGCCTGAGGGAGCAGTTCATGCGTCTACGTCGTTGATATATTGCTTTAGATAAAGTGGAAACCAAGTTATTTACAAAGCCTATGTTATCCGTCTCATTCTTAAAGAGAAAAGGAAATCTATAAGAACCTCTTTATTTGACGTACAACGTGTGAGGCTGAAACTCCCTCCTGTTAGAACGAATACCTCAGGGTCTGTATTAAGCCTCGCAATAGCGAGTGGTCGCTGTAATAGAGCTATCTTCATTAACATTGATTAAAATTGTCCGATATACCGAGGTGACCGCAAAGCGAGAAATGACTGCATGCCACTTTTAATATAACAAATTTATGAAGATTTGATAAGGGGCCTAAAATTCTTGCTGTGATGCGAGACGACAGAACTCATGGCTCGGCGTCCTTAATGATAGACCAGAGTTTTCGGCATGCATAGAAACTTTTAATGTCTTAAACGAAAATTACAAATAAAAAGCTCGCTTATCAGTTTAAATATGAGTTTTAAGAGTTTTTCTTTTATCGTTAAGGATCAATTTTAAAGCTTGGATTATCTGTTGCGTAAACGTTGCTATATTATATGACTACTACTTAGTCGCGAACTTTTTACTATCCAAAGCTTATCACTATTCAATGAATATCTTCGCCTTTTCAAAAGGAGTTTTATCGAAACATCTTTTCAAATTTCACTGTGGTCATCCGAATGGCTATCGCCGCTTCTACTTAGAATTTACATCAGGTATTTTTATCATATAATAGATAAGACTTGTATTCTCTTCTAGGAGAAGGAAGACTGTATGTAACTAGGAAAATGCATAGAAAGCTATTCTATAAAGTTGTAGGTGAAATTGGAGTCAATATGCACGACCGAAAGTTTTCATGGGTATTGATTGTTGATTACAATGTTTACCCATTGAAGGCAGTCAACACCGTGGTTTTCATAAAATCGTATCTTTCTTGGAGAGTTGTTTGGATTGTCCGCTTCTTTCCGGTAATTTGAGAGAATAATATTAATAGTCCTTAACCACCTACGATGTATGTCGATCGTGCGCGTACTCTTATAAAAGATTGTTTAAAATGCAGGAAAATGGCAAGAGTTTTTTTTATATAAAAACAATTCGCGATATTTCTTTGTTATCTGAAAATCTCACTGAATACATTTAGCAATACCCTCTCCTGAAATATAGCTATCTCTAAAGTAAGAAATACTTAAAGTGAGTGTTTATTTGCAATTTTTTTCTTTTATAAGAGTTTTTTAGCGGCTGCCTGCGAGGCGTTCATAGCRGTTGTCTAGTCCTTTGGTTCGATTAGAAGGAGCTTATTGTYTTAGAATCTAGCGGCCTCTTTGACGAAAATAAGGGCAAAAATTAGATTCTTTAGTTATTATGGAATTGAATTAAACATTTATGATTTTTTGAGGTTAGTCGAGAAGGATATGAATATGTAGTTGTCATATCTTGACAAAATAATTCGCAAAACAACCATTTTTTAGCCATTTTGCGCCGGCGATTATAATTGTTTCACGGTGGGGGGCTAGTACGGACTTATGGAAGTTGACGGAAAAGGGTGGTTTACTTATTTTTTCTTATAGAGTAAGGCAATTTATTATTTAAAACGAAATTTGCTAATATTATAAAATTCTTAGAAATATTAACCAATAGTTAAGATATATTTAATAAAATTACTTGAAGGTGTGGTTTTGATCGGAAGTACCAATGAACAAAATTTAAAATGACATCTTCATCAGTTTACGTTATAATATTTACTTGCTAGTATGGTGTTTCTTTTCTTTCTCAACATATAATTTGATGATTCTTTTCATAAATCCGTGAATCACAGTGTAATAAACGGTCAATGCATCACAGTAAAAACGATGCAAAAAGTGAGTAAATAAACAGTTTACTACGCTGAAAGTTTATTCAAAACYCTAATTTGACACTTTTCAAGGACACTTATTTTGAGATTTAGGCTAAGTTTTGTGTTTGACCGTAAAGATTGGCGCTTAGTGCTGAYTTTCGGTTCATTTAACAAGTAAATACTCATTTTTGAGGCRAACAAATTTCAATTTTTAGCAATAAAATGTCTTTCGGCCGCATTTGACGCAAAAGGTATAAAATCTCCTATGGGGAGATTGACGRCCGATGYTTAGCCCCTTTGACACCCTATGATTTCCCCRTAWTAAAGACATGGGCTACTTTACTTGCTGTCCTAGCATCGGCTTAGAGGGTTAGAGTTTTTAAGATAARCAYCAAATCCCTCTTAAACTGTCGAAATTTACACGACAAATATTCTTAATACAGATGTATTTCCTGTTTGATTATATTAAGCGCWCTGCTTTCTGGGCTAATGWCAKTGCTTGTTCTATGTCTAGCTCGACTCTTTCAATATAGCCATATAAAATTGACTTTGATTGTATTTTAAATCACATTTTGCATAAGTATCATGCTCCAAAACTCTCTATATAAACTCACAGYTACGTCACAGCGGCCATCTTGGAGGAACTTCAACGAAAAGATTTCTCATTAGTATCTATTGTTTATTCYTACTCCAACATGGCCGCCGGTCTTTTATCTTTTGAATCTCGAATGGAAATAGTTGAAAAAGATCAATTCAACGGTCACTTATTTAAGTACCGAATTTCCCCCTCATGTTTACTGTAAATAAGACCTCTATTAAGCACTCACTTCTATTCTAGCGGATGCGCTCACCTTACTGGAACTTCCCAATTTGTAAAAGAAAAGAAAAGAAAAAAAAAACGGAAAAAAGGAGAGGAAAAAGGGAGTTCCCTTCTCTTTGTACCATTCTAGCTTTTTCCGCTCCCATCCCTTCTCAAAGGACTGGCACTCAGGTTAGGTTACATGTTACGCATGGGTCTCAAGCGACGGTGTCATAATCGAAAGCAAAGAGCACCGCTTTGCTGGTGCCGCTGGAAGCATTCCGAGAATCAATAGATAGGAATAGAGCAATTGCGTGCGATGTGTTCATATCTCAAGCTGGCATATATCCAAAATTATGGTTTCGTGTTTCAATCAAGTGTAATATCAATATGCACTATACATTTAGACCGGATTCCATCGGCGAAAGCTTTTTCAGTTTTTTTCGATTTATTGCTAGAACTGATTGACTTCGATTTTGTCGCTATTATCATGTTATCAGAAATAGTTGTATGTCCAGGCGAACCTTCGAAASAAATGTTTGTCACGTCATCAAAACTCTCCCCTTTTGATYGTGAGGCGTGGGGACTGTCAACTTCAAACGTATTTCGAGCCAATCAAAAACGGTCAGCGTCGCTGTCAACTGAAAAAGCAGTAAAAGGCTTGATATGATTGGTTCAAACCTGCTAAGTATATATAACAAGTGTTTTGATTGGCGGTTGCTCTCTCGTGAAGGGATGTAGATTATTTCTTAGTACACTTGGTGATAAGTCGAGCGACTATCCAGAGTCAGGCTACTCTATCTGCAGTGTAATATTGTATCTAGTTCGCTATATCGATCCACGTCGGCGTCAGATTGACCACATGGATTATTAATATTCGTTCAAAGGCCTCGTAACACTGTAAGTACAGTAAAGTACAGTAAGTTTTTATCAAACTTAAATGTTTGCGGTTCCTTGTAGTTTCGTCTCTATGAGCTCCGCAGCACTTTCTATTTTATTATTTTTGATACGTTTTACAATGCATTATTATAGCGTGGGCAGCGAAAGTAGTGTTAATGTGTCTTTTAATATATGGCCGAAACGTTTTAATATAAAGCTTGTTTTAATTGATAAAAAATCGAGATCCCCATTTCTCAAATGATGTATTAACACCAACTTTGATAAAGCCTATAAGAAAAGTTTATTTTGATTAGTATTCTACAAAAAGCCATCTCCATAGATTTCCAATTTACAGTAAAAAATATCATATGTTTTTGAGTGTGATATTAATTGAACTGAGATATAGATGATAAGAATCGTACACGAAAAGTTTCCGTTTACTAAAACAACTCTTTTAATTTAACAAATTTTTGATTTTATGCATATTAGCGAGATCTTGCTTCTTATGTGCCGCACATTGCTCCAAGCTATTCGATGCATTTGGTATACTGACACATCTAATACCGCACATGTGGAAATCAACGTTGATCCGGCCTTATCGATTTAAGTGTTGAGTTACTCAAGAGTTCGAGTGTTGATCTTGATTATCTTCGCATGTTAATAAACTTGTTTTAGCTTTTAAATTAAAGTGATATAATTCATATGTCACAAATACTCTGATCCGCCAGTTCCAAGTTCTCGTAAATTTGATTACATTCGGTAGATCCAAAGCACTTCTTTGAATGTCTGGCCTACTTCTCGTCTATTAGAAAGGAAATAGCATGCTCTAATACAGCTAAAATGCCTAGAAATGAGTAAAATTGCATTTGAAAAGAGAGCATTTTGAAGAATAAAGCACAAGGAAAGAAAAGATTAAAATTTTTGTTTGTGCACAAATTTACAGACGAAATCAAAAATGATAATGAAAAAAAATCAACTCCAGTGCCAGATGCGAAGAAATTATATGAAAGAAAACAGATTTTTTTCACTAGTGAAAATAATGTGAGAAATATAGGAATATTATGGATCATTACATAATAAATTGATTTTTAGAACACTATATAATGCTAAAGGTAATATTTCATGCTAAGATATAATTGAGATAGTCATTGAAGAAGATTCTAGACGCGCGCAGCGTTTGATTGTAAAGGTTTTAAGTTATAAAAGCACACCTGCCAAATAAAACTGGAGCATGGTTTGACAGGTTAAAAATATTCTACTCATAAGTCTCCCATTGATAATTTTGCTTATTAGAATATGGACGAATTGAAAACCATGCAAGAAAGCCAGTTTGAACTAAATATTACACTATAGGCATCAATTTCTAAATATTATATATATTTCTAAATATTATAAATAGAATAAATGAAGAAAAAGCCACGCAACTTGTAACTTGGTTTTCTACTTTTTTTTTCTTTTTTCTAAATATTATATATATTAAAGGTTCGCAAAGAAAAATACACCAATATGCAGAAATTATGATCATTGTGACTCATAGTTCCAAGTATATATATTAAGATATATCAGAAATTATGGGATATCATAGCCAATATTTTTTTGAAGTTGCCTGCTAGCACTAGAACTTTCTGAAAAAAATATGATATCCCATAATTTCTGATATATTTTATATTATACTTGAAATATGAGCAAAAAGRCCATTATTTTTTGCATATAATTGCTGCATACAGTTGTATTAGAATATGGAAGATGAAAACCATGCAAGAAAGCTAGTTTGATATTATGATATAATATGGTTACAGCTGTTTGCAATAATTCTGACCCCCCCTACACTAATATTCATATATATCAAAGTAGCCTTAGAAATTATGGGATACCAATGCTGATATTTTTTTGAGAAAGTACTCATTCTGGGCAACTCAAAAAATATATCAGTCATGATATCCCATAATATTTAAGGTCAGTTTGATATATATGAAATATGGCAGAGGGGGTCAGAATTATTGCAAATAGCTGTATTTTTGATTAGTTCAAATGTTCAATCTACAGCATGTTGTCTATTACTAGTAAGTGATCTTTTAAGTCGTCGGGGTTTTTTAGCTATGTGTAAAAATATTGCGACTAATAGATGTTTTCAAGGGTTTTGAAGAACGTTTTGCACACTGTTTCCGATTGCTAATGCACACACACACCCTTCCCTAAGTGACGATTTTCATTAATGGTAGTTCTCGTTTCTATTTCCTGCAGAACTGGCAATTTCCTGTTTGTCCCYTTGTCTTGGAAAGTTAAAGCTGAGACTATAAAAGGACATACTACGGTTAAACACAACAACTTCAATACTGTCGAAAAGCGTCGACAAAATCACAGGACCCAAAACATTCTTCTTGGAACACTCAAGGATCTTTTGGGATTTTCACAGATATAATCTTTCGTTCGTAAGGGCTTGGGCTTGGCTGTAAGGGACTAAAACTGACAACTTATTAATCAAATTCGAGGTAATCTTAGTAGGCTCTTCACATCTAGGATTACTCCCCACTTACAAAAGTTGGACACAACGCCGGTCTAAACAGACATCTTCCCAGCACACAACAATCAAAGCCGAACCGGTGGCTGTAGCCTTTTAACATATAATATCAACAGAACCACCAGTTGATAAGCAAGGTTGGTGTCAATACTTTTTCTATAAAAAGAAATCAGGTTGGCGTGAGTATTTTTGGGTAACACCTGTCACAAGACACTGGACAGCTTTGTTTTCATATCTCAAGTTATCAAATATCATAACTATATTGGTGTTTGCGCTTGAAGAACATACTCGTCTCCAACACATTGTGCGCTGTTAGTTTATGCACTTAGACTCTCAAGGACTACTTTCGTCATAAGAGAGACAAAGTGACCTGGATAATTCATGAACGCCGAAAAGCACCTGTAATTCAAAGTGGTTATTTGGCTAGTCATCGACTGCTCTTAAGAACATTAGGCTTGGATTATACAATTGTTCTTTAAGGAATATACATATAGCTAGTGAAAATTGAGTTCTGAAATACTCCATTGAGAGCCTCTACACTTTGAATAGCACTTGTACTAGAAGGWTYTTTCTGGACGCGTTCGTGGTAACCCTCTGGAAACCATCACCGAGTTAAAAGTACTGTGTTAATTTGGTTATATGATTCCGCAAACCAAAGGAGATTACTGTTAAAGTTGATTCATAAACTCATCGCGATGACGGGTAATCTGACTGCTAAGAACACAAACGAAAAAACATACAACGACGATTCGGCCGTGTTTTCCACTGTTATGCTGATTTTAATAATGGCTTTTGGCATATTTGGGAACAGTATGGTAATCGCCTCGTTTGTAAAGTTCCGTCGTTTGAGAACCGTCACAAACTATTTTCTCATTTCCCTGGCGGTCGCTGATCTCATGCTAGCATCTCTTTCCATTCCATTCTGGTTAACAATTCGGTTGGGAAACTCTCAAATGGTAGCAAAAGCCAGGTTTTCTTTGACGGTAGTTTATCTGTCGTGGCAGTTTATTGATATTCTCTGTAGCACTGCTTCAATAATGAATCTATGTGTAATTGCTATTGACAGACATCTTGCGATAGTTTCACCACTGCATTACAGCGCTCAAATGACTCCAAAGCGCGCCAACTCATCCATCGCGGCTGGCTGGATATACGCGGTCGTCTGCGCGGGATTGTCCTTGGTTTCAACGAAAAAAGACTACCAACCTTTGGCAGGAAGAGTTTACGCKGGGTTTATCTCATTAGCAGCATTCATGATTCCGCTCATGATAATATTGTATTACTATGGAAAGATTTTCACYGTTGCTTTAAGRCAAGTTAGGAAATTAAACGCCGAAGGAATGCCATTTGTWTATGGAACTGAACGGGAGCGAAGAACTCTTATTCAAAGAGAATTAAAAATTGCTAAAACACTAGCGCTGGTCGTTGGGACTTTCATAGTTTGTTGGTCTCCGTTCTTTTTGGTAATGTTGAGTTATTCAATATGTGGAGTTCGTTGTATCAGCCCAACTAATGAATTCATCGCGACAAGTAAATGGATGCACTACTCGTCCACCACAGCCAACCCAATCATATACACACTCTTTACTAAATCATTCAGACAATCCTTTAAAACAATGTTATGTTGTCCAGCATATAAAACTTGYAATGTAAAGCCATGCGCAAATCATCTCAAGAAGACAAACTACAACAAAACGACGGARAAAGARCAGTTCATTCTAAGAAGTTTTTACAAAAAGACAAGTCAGGGCGAGCTGGTAACTCAGACTTGTACTGTAGAGATTTGTAAAAAAAATYCCCCCTCCCCTCCACGGGGATAATTACTAATGGCTTTATTAAGGTAACATTGCCCTGTGGCAAGTCCACACTCTCGAGAGTTAAACCATATTTAATAAGTGAGTTGGGAGGAGGTAAAAGCAGAAAAACGTAAATAAAATTGCCTATTAAGTTCAATTTGTTAATCGTCGGGTGAGACATAGAATTGTTAATTGCGCAAGACTTAAGGCTTCGTTCACATCGAAAGATTTACGCAGCACTTTCGTGGCATTTTTCATTCATCCTTTGTTAATGACGAACAATGCAAAACGCTACGAGAAAGTATATGTATAAAGAATTGATAAAAAATCTGTACATAAATATTGCTGTAATTTATAGAGTATCACTAAATTTATATAGTTTTTCCAATCAAACGTTAATAAAAATGATAAAAAAGAGATGAAAATCTGGTTTATTTAAAACAAGGAATCAYATRTCATGTGAGTGCCTATGAGGGACACCGCTATGCTACGTAAACGTACGTACGGATATTTCTAGTTTTGGGACGTCGGTTTTTTAGTGTGTCCAAATTGTATTTTCTACGGAAATGATATATTTGCTCGGCTGCAAGGAAAACAGAGTAATGGATCTTCGAATTCTCCAGACAAAGTAGAAAAACTAACAATCACTAATATATTGTATCAACAGGCTAAGAGATAGCAATAAGAAGATAGCTAAATAGCCCCAGGCGCTCATAGCAACAGCCGATGAAGGAGGTTTGGGTTTTGAGGTGGGCGCTTTCCCACCCCGTTGCACATGCTTCAAACACGTGCCTTGTTTGCTTGGTGTAAGACAAAGGGCGTGGTCCATTACATGGAAGATATAGTTTTGTTCAACAACGCCGTGGAATAAATAGGCACCAGGGCCTGTGGCGTAGATACCTAAAGAAAATAAAAAAATATAAAAGTGTTTAAATACAAATAAAAGAGCCCAAATGTCCACAGAGAGTTAAACTGTTAAAGTTTGTTTATGTGCTCAATATTTACGGCAAACCGTTCTTAGAAATAAGGATTACGGCCATGTTTACAGTAAGAGTTCCCTAAGGTAGTAAAGCCAAACTTCYCCGGGGGATTTCAAAAAGAGTTTGGCTCTACTTACCTAGGTGTACCTAGGAGCACCACATATAATGTAAACAGGTCCTAAGTAGGTAAACTAGTTTACAAGTTAGGAGAATTAACTAGAAAATGCTTCAATGATTTTCAGTTCCTAAAACAGTCTCGATCCTATTCTCAAAATCACTAAAAAACAAAGATAAGTTAGAAGAATTAGCTAGAAAGGCYTCTGCCGTTTCCKAAAAAAATCTCAAACTTATAATGAAAATTTGATATTTTCCTTGTCATACCCTTAAGATAATAAGGCTCTCTTGACTTTTGAATATATTAATGGCACGTATTTGGGAAGTAAAGATTTGTCTAAGAGATTGGAAAAAGCACTTATAATATAAATATATGTTTTGCCGGTCGGTAATTTTTAGTTATCTTGCCGACAATAATACACAGACAAATGAAACTGAACTATCACAAATGATCCTTATAAAAAGAAAGARAAATATCGAMYTCYTAAGGGTGCTGTCAATAAACTATACCGTAGTAACTTTCGACAACCTTTTTAAAAATGTTGTATACAGCTCTTTCAAATAATGTTGAGTACTGGATACTGCATTATGTAATGGAAGACCGCAATGCATTGTTGCTACTGCATTCTACGTAAGTGGTATTACAAAATGACAATTCTGAATTAAATTTTCACTCTGAAACAGTAAAAAATCCTCTTTTAGAGCGATAAACCAACGATGGCATACTATGCAATAGTCCAATTTTAATATTTTGATTGAATTGTCATGCACAAAAGAATTGAGGACGAGGCTCAGGGGAAACAAAAGGGTTTTGTATTATTTCCCAGGAGCCTCATCTTCAATTTYTTTGTGTGCGTKTGGTTASMCAAAATATCKTWAGTCGGCTATTCGATATTTGASTACACTGTATTTCCAGTATTCAACCTTATTCGAAATAGCTTTAATTTATTCATTGACGTACCAACATCTTCAGCTCCRTGCGTCTCACTAGACTTCAAGACRAGAGAYTGCTGTTTAAAGTCCTTGTCAKCGGTATTAACACCCGTTAAGTTACTCCTATTAGTACCCGGGACCAGGCCCCCGGGTCCATTGGCATAGCCCAAGGTTGTATAMGGTAACCCATCYTTGCCAATTGCAGTAGTATTGTCGGGTTCAATAACAATACCAAATATGGGATTTCCACGTCGTGGATATCCCGCCATGCTGAACACGTGACTATGATCAGCGGTAGTCACCATTAGTGTTTCTTCTGCAAAGCAAGGTAATTCCAACAATAAAATAAAATCAATGAAAAGATAAAAAAAATTGTCATTTTAAGTCATGTTAGTTTYATTRGCGAAGTGCATCATGGTAGAATGAAGCTTACCYTYGTCCAGAATACTAATTGCCTTGGTAACAGCTYTTGCCATGGCAACRTTGTCRGTCAAAGCCTTGACAGCTTTGCTGCTATGGTGACCATGGTCGATACGACCACCTTTAATAAAAAAGACAAGAATAGAGATAGGCAGACTTTTATTGTGTCATCTCAAACCCCCCCCCCTAACCCTAACCCTACCCCCCCTGTTAAACATTGTGCAGTCCCTAATACACACACTTCATATTCATAGCGTCACTATGGGCTTACCTTCAACAAATAAGAAGAAACCTTTGGGATTTTTACTAAGTATCTTGATAGCAGTTTCTGTCATTTCTGCTATTGAMGGCTCTCCGGCTGCGTCGCTGGCTCGTTCGACCTCATACTGCATATGACTAGGCTGAAAAAGCCCTTTTCAAATACACGATCTCATGAGCAAGTGAAATAGAAAAACAACAGGGAATGGTGAAAATTRATTGAACTCAAGAGGACAAGWAGCRAATAAACCAACCATAAAACRTCTACCCTACTCACCCATCACTCGCTTTACTTTATTAACGTCTAAWGAATCAAAGTCAGTCTTATTCCACAGATAGACCGCACCGGGATTTTTCTCCAACCACTCGTTAATAAGATTACGACCGTCGGATCTCGTGCCATTTTTGTCAGGGTATTCAGGGTCTGGTACTGTGTTCGGATAAAATGCTCTTCTTCCGCCAGCAAAGACTACATCGATGCCATCACCCTCAGAGTATTCTACTAGTTGAAGAGCTGGGGAAACAATCACGTGAATTATTAATGGTATCAAAATGAGAAAGAAGAACAGAAACAAGAAGGAGGAGAAAAGAGAAAGA